ATCCGCTCGTCTTGCGGGGTGAGCCATTTTTCCACCTGCGAAGAAGGATATCCCTCTCTCTCGCAAAAGAGTTTTAGGATTTCSTCCTTCGTTTGGATCCCCCGTCGTCCCAGGGCTCGATCAAAAGACAGGGTAGACGCATGGTCCTTCGACTGGACGCGGCTCTCGGACAAGGGGCGGCTCCGGATGTCCATGTCCTCTACGACCAGCGCCAGAACCAGTTCGGGATGGGTCGCCGCAAAGGACATGGCGACCCTTCCTCCCATGGAATGTCCCACCAACACAAAGGGGCGAATGGTTGGTGGTGCCGGATTTTCGTCGCCGCCGCCGGGTTCGACCGGGGCACGAAAATAGGGATGCGTACCCAGAAATGCGTAAATGTCCTCCACGAGCGCACCGGGGGAGAACTCGGTCGGATCCCCGAGGGGAGACCGGCCACAGCCTCGCTGGTCCAGTGCCACCGCCCGGTAGTCTGCTTGCAGGCTGTCGAGGACGCCCTTCCATGTCTGTGCCGACGAATCCAAACCATGGAGGAAGAGTATGGGTGGCGAAGAACCGTCCGTGCTGTTGGAAGGTACCAACGACGGGGCCACATTGGTCTCTCGGAAGGTCAGTGGGATGGCGCCCTTGTCGTTGCAGCAGCTTTGGCGTGCTGCAGCAGAGATGGATGTTGCAGAACGCATAGCGAATGCTGCTGTGATTTGAGATAGTTCCCACAGAGAAAAGAAGGCCAGAGAAAAGAAGCGAGAGAGGTTGCGGTGCTGTATTGGTAGTACCGCCATCCTATGTCATGCTAATGTGCTATCGGATGTCACAAGAAGCTTCGAGTTGTTTCTGTTTCCGAGAAGGTTTTTTGTTGTGGCGTCATCTCAGAAACCGAAAATCAAAAATCATTTTCATTGAATCAGTCCTCCAACCTCCAAAACGAACTAGACTAAGAGCAACTACGTACGTAGTCACGTACTTCTTACAAGTACTTCTTATGATACTGTATGATATGACTGTATGACACCATAGGTATGACTCGTACGATACGATACCATTACGATTACGCCTCACGAAAACCGGTTTTGTACTTTGTACCGTATCGTACCGTACGTATTTGTACTGTTTTGTTTGACCTGAGATAGAAATAAGAAAAAATGGATACTGTTATTTTTTATTTTATTTTTCGATTATTCGACTCCCAAGATCCCGAAAACTATTTTTCCAGGATACTGTACTTATGTATGATACGTACGATATTGATCCGAGAGATTTACAGTAAAGAGGGAATGATGAGAAAAGAACATACCGGTATTTTTTGATTTTTGGATCACAAGCGGTGTACCGTACGTGAGATAGTACGTGGCCTTACATACTTCGATACTGAGTATCATTTGTACAGGTGCGATATCATCGTATGAGCGTGACGTCCGAAAAGGCCTTGCGGGCCGCGCCGGGGGGGATCGCTTTATCGCCGATTGGGTGTTCGAATCACATTATCGCTGTTTCCGGTTCATTACATTTTTTCGATGGCACGCGCACCGGTACGGAATACGGAATACTACCGGTTCGTACGATACACCATCGCTAGAATTCCTTACATTGCCACCAAGGCATATAAGTGTCCTCTTACAAATTGCAGTAGTGACGACCTTTGGAGTGTCACGCAAACAGTCCAGGCAGAGATGCAAACGGAACGCGTAGTCGTTCTCGTACCCACAGGAACGTTCTTGAGGCAAGGTCGTCTTTCTCTGGCAGAAATCACAAAAGGCTCTGTGGAATAAATTTATCGAAGGAACATACTACCAACAACTTAGTGAGATTACGACATACCCGAAGTTCACACACAGCCATACTATCCATCAACAATGAGGAAAACCTTGAGAAAGTTGCCATCGCTCAGTAAGAGGGGAAACAGAACAACCTATGACTACAATTCGATGTTCGATGATTTTCCCGGAGTACAGCTCGACGAGGAGGGTTTCCCGTCTTCTAGCGACAAAAGGACTATTATCAGCAATATCGATTTCAACACGGCGACCAGCAACACCAGCAACAACCCCACGAGCAACACCAGCACCTGCAATAGCAGTAGCAACGGCAGCAGCATAAATTTCTTGACATCCCGAATACGAACTTCTCGAGGCAGACGTCTTAGTCAACATGCGCGTGGTCGCGAGCAGCCCGAAACAAGTGATGGTCCACCCCTTTTCGCTAGCATCGGGAAACCGCCGAGGAGTCGAAGCGCCGACCCACTGCAACTACGAAGGAAATCTACAGCAACAGCAACACGTGGAAGAGATAATAGCGTTCGCAGCAGAGGCAGATCCGTGGCTCGATCTTGCTCTCCTTCTGCTATGCGGTCCACCATCAGATCGCATTCTCTATCAAACATCCGCAACACCTATCGGTCGGTTTCGCCCTCGGCCAGAACCGGTCAATTTGACGGCAGCTGCGAGACCTTCAGCGAACCAGAACAACGCGACGATTCCAGCTTAACTAAGAGTGCACGGTATCAATTGGGCAAGGACATGCAAGTCCTGGCCGACGGAATCAATCTCGATGGCAACACGCGGGTGCTCTTGGCGGCATACGACGCTCGAACCCTCGACGATTTCTATCTCATGGCCGACATCGACTTCCTAGATTTTCTTCGAAAAGCTCGGGCGGCCAACAATTGCCTTCCCCCACTCCAGATCCGGAAGGTAAGAATGCTCCGCCGGTGGCTCAAGGATCTAGTCGACGAGAACATGAGCGACGAGAACGAAGAACACAGTCGGAGAAGCCGGCGTCGGCGTCTCGTGCCAAAGGATTGGGCCGAACAATACAAGCACGATCTTCCTCATCTGAAACTTGAACTTAGACAGCAAGGGGACTCGCTGTTTGAACGGTTTAGCCAGTTCGGTAATGCGTTGACAAGCGTCGTAACGGGATGTAGTACTCCTACGGGGTATCTGTAATGTTGGTTTGACAGAGCAAGCCGCAGCAGTTTCAAACCAACTTCTATTCTTATGCAATGCATGCACTCACTACTAGTTAGTATTCTGATGACGAGATAGCATCCAATGCGGTTTTTCATCCTTTTATCATCCGCCATTATAATATCATTTTTAAAAAAAAACATGAAGTACGTAAGGTACTGAAGTACTCGAACTTAGTTTAGAGTTGAGTTCTGCTTGCTACAAGGAGGATGATTATCTCCTACTTACAGGTATCACAGTACCGTAGTTTTTGTTTTCGATGACTTGTAATTTTATCGTCAGTACAAAAACGATCAAGTGCACGGTACGTACCATACGTACGGCAGGGTACATAATTTAGACCCCTGCCGTACGGTACGGTATGAAGTATCAAGGAAAGAGCCGTTTCGTGTATCGTTACTACAAAAGTATACTACGTACCGTAGATACATACGATAATAAGATGTCTGGAGTCTGAACTATATTCCGTACGTACCGTACGTACCTATTATCTTGGAAGAGTCCTCGTACGGTACGGCAAAATACGGTAAAACGACAGGATGTTCATACAAAATTACTAGTAATTTTGAATACCTGCATATCGTATCTTGTACGAAGTACTACGTACTTTACTCATATCTACCTAGAGTACAATACCGTACAGTAAAACTTTCAACGATTTTTAAGGTCGATTCATCTTTTATGACATAGCTTCCAGAAAGATGATCACCTAGCGTAGYGGTACAGTACCCGGTACATTAATACTGCACTTCTCGTGAAAAGGCTGGGAAGAATTTGAAACGCAATCTTTTCGAAGTTTTGGTTTTTGTTTTATTTAAACGTCAGGGTCTAGCCAGAATTATTAATTGAGGGTCTAAGGGATTTCAAGGAAATGGTATATACAGAAAAATGCATTAAGTAAAATTCGCATTTCTTTATGTTGTGTAAATATTATTAAAAAAAAATTTATGTGATTATTGCCCTACTTTATGTAGTGCCCTGTTGAACAACCAAGAATTGATTTTAAACAAAGGTAGGTATCCTGAACATTAAAAGTAATCCTGAACATTAAAAGTAATCCTGAACATTAAACAAACACAATATGAAGGTCGACTTAAGCTCTTCTTCACAGGATGTGGAAAATATTTTTCTTCCCGAAAAGTCTTACTGTATTCCATCTCGCTTCGTTGAGAACGAGCATCGCACGATGCATTCGGCGTGATTGTCAATAACAGAAATCGCGCATTCGGATTCCCCTCGTTCGTTGAACCGACAAGGATGACTTATTTTGTCAACAAGATGTACGGTACTATAACAAAGCGATAAGATATCGCTGGTGGTCGATAGAGGTTGACTTGTACTAGGCTGTCGATGACAGTTATGGAGAGTCAAAGGGAAAGAATTTGACTTGCGCAGTATCTATTGGTATATTTGAAGCTTCGAAGCATAAAATCGAKTGTCTTCCATAACATCACTGCAATGAGTCAGATTCGTCTAGATTTGAAAGGTGAAGCAGAAACCGATAGAGGAGAGTATGTGGTTTTTCAAAAGAATCATTCACGGAATTGCCACATCGAAAGAAACAAAATTCAAGAAATCTCGCAATCCGATTTGGTAATGGCTCTGAATTTACAGGACTCGGTCTAATCAAGTTCATGAGATGATACGCAGTGTCGATTTCTCGATTCACTTAAGCATTTGGCTTGCTGTTCAATAAACAATCAGGCTTACTCGATTGAACAGCTTATATCTGGAGATCCAGAAAGTTCCTTTGTGCAATTCAAACCAAGCAACAKAGATCTATTGCCCAATAAATGGCATGAAAGAGGAAAAATTGATTCCGATCAAAAGCAGGCTGGCGAAACCTATTGCAAATCACACTTGAAGCAAACTTTATGATCCTATCCGCCCAAAGATACCCGCACTCAAGAACTCGAGGAAGGGACATGCATACATAATTGTGCAGGTGAATGGATGCAACAAAGTGGGTGTTAAGAATGTTCTCGTTGCTTAAACGCACCGACAAAAACAAAGCAAAAGTTAAATGAATCCATTTTGCAAAATTGTTATTTATTAAGACTATCGATATGCTATTCATGTCTAGTCTACTCAAAATCATTGTTTCGAAGCTTGATAAGTTCGATTTTGGTTGTTCATGGACGTGATCAGACGATTTCTAGCGTCCGATCCCCGTACCCCAGAGCAGTCTTGTGAGCGTCAAACAAAGCTGTGAGTTCTCTGATAAACACTGCATGGGCTCTGTCCACTTCTTCCTTTGTCGGTGTTTGCTTGCTGATAGATGTATCTATACACGATTCATTGAGATTGTCTTGTTCCAAGACAAATTCGAAACGAATCGGTTTGCCCATCACAATGGTGGTGGTTTTTGGCAAAGGGCAAAATGGATTCCCCCACAGCCCACTGCAGGGGGTAATGCATATCCCAAGGTTTTTGACAAGCCAGAGTCGGAAGCGTTGAGCCATCCAATTGTATGTATAATACGAATCGCTGCATCCAAATACGTACATGGGAACAATCGGCACCCCGTGTACAAGCGCCAATTTGATAAATCCCTTGCGATTCTTTAGGTAGATGATTTCCCTTCCATACACAGTACGTATTTGCTCCGCCTCACCTCCGGGTAGAATCAGTAACGATTTGCCCTGATCCAGAGCAGCCTTGGCTACCGGGCGGGAAGCATCGATGCAGCCGGTCCACAACGATATTTCTCTCACTACGGGAATCCAGAACAAGATCGAGGCCGCTAGCGCCCGAATCTTGTTTCTCTTCAGTAGATTAGGAAAGGTCTCGTTAATGATTCCGTCCATCAATACACGGAAGTCTGAATTACATCCGTGAGGAAACGCCGCCAGGATGAACTGGGCGTTGGATCGGGATTCGGCCTCCACCAGCTCCTTGGGCAGGGGCTTAGCAAATGAAAGGTTTAGATACCGGCGATGAATGGACGAGAGGAAAAAATATCGTTCGCTAAAGGCTCTCCAGACCCCACCTTCGGGTTGCTTCTCGGAATGAATGGCTCCCCCAGGTGTTAGCAGCCGAATTGATGCATAGAGCATTAAAAAATAAATCATCATCTTGCTTCTGGAAGATCCGGGATTGAAGAGAACGTAGATTCCTCCAAGATTGACTAATAAAATCAGTGCCATTAGAAGGGTGACGCACATGAACGCTTGCAGTTTCAACCAGATTGATGGGTGGCTGTTGGTGTCTTTTGTACTACCATGACTCACATCTGATTTTTTGTCTTTTAGTTTCGATGATGACGCCAAAGATGCTTCTATCCGCGACATGGTGACAGAATTGCGCAATGATGTGTTTCTATTTACATTCGTTTGTGGGCTTGGAGGAACAGAGGCGGCGGTTAAAACGTAGTCTAGTTGTTACGTTGTGCTGCAGCACACACAGATTGTTTCTGTCTTCGTGGAAAGGCGATCGAYGGGATGGACAACATCCCTTGCTAACAAGTTGGTTTGAAAAAAATGAGTCGAAGGACCCGAAAACGAGATCAGTTTATTTCTCCAGTGCAAGCCACGTAAAAAGGTAAAGGTCCACAACAGGATGTTCAAACTACACGCTTTGCTTGTACACCAGGGTTCGGTTCGCTCAATTATTGCTTAATTAAMTACGGGTACTCGTACTCGTACTGTTAATAAAAATATTTCTAGAAATCTCCTTCGTACTTGATTTTATTTTTATCTTACCTCGCACGTGCGGACAAAGCTCATTCTCTAAAATGTCCTAAATTTTATGTTGGTAAACAAGCGGCCACTGTGAGGACAACAACGCGATGCTTCATTTTGCACTAGGAATATCTTGTGCCCGTAGCAGTTGGTATTTTACACGCCGAAAACAGACTACGTAGAGACTCGTACTGTAGTCGAATCCATAAGTCTGTCTTGTCTATTGTTTGTGTCACAAAATATTGCATTTTTTGATACTTCCGGTACTCGTACCAATCTACTCTTCATCTAGCCTCATGTGCACGTGCACAGTAACATGCTGATACATTTCTTCGCTGAAAAACTCTTCCTGCTCAAGCTCTGCATTCCAGATCCTTGTTTTGGTTGTTGGGTGTTGCTTATCCGATTCGATGTTGACTCCCAAGCCTGGCCTCACCTAGGAATGTGAARCTAGGGTAGGTGCAGTGTGAGAATCCACCTACAGCAAGGTACGTAGCCGCATGCATTCTGTTATCTGATGTTGGCGTCACAGGCCCAAAATCGTTGTGCCGGCCCGCCACCGAACAGTCGAGTGTAGTAGGAACTTCATCCCCTATTAGTAGTTATTACCCTCATTCCAAAATCTGTGTGCCGAACAATGTCTGGCAGATGCAACATCAACGGCACAGTCGGTCGATTATTGCACCGTGTTACTCGACTTCGATATTTGCATTCCAAACGGTASAGTAGAATGCCTATTATGCTATTATTTTGCCACGCAACCTTGGTCCAAACTACGCTGTTTTTTCGTACAGCTATTTCGCTCGCTSGCTGGCAAGCAGCGATGCAGCATACCCCTCCAACCATTCCATTTCCTCGGAGCACCCGTCCATCTCTGCTACGGTGTAGTAGTCGAGGCTCTCCGTGAGCGAATAGTCCCGGCCGAGGGCCTTCCACCGGTCTTGTTCCAGGATGGAGTGCGTCGTGTCCTGCAGTGTCTCCCTGGGGGTCCTCGGTTTGTAGGAAGCGTCGCTTTCACCATTGTCGTCGACGGCTTTGTTCCGGAACAAGACGGTAGGATCGCTCCAGGTTGTGGTGCCGTCGAGGTCCCATTCCGAAACTCCAAAGGAGTCGTCACTGCCAGTGCTCGGTGAATCGCTCCCACTGCCCCTGGACGACGAGGATACGCTGTCGCTTCTGCTGCCATCATCGCTGCCGCATTTTCTATTGCTATCGCTATCGCTATTGCTCTCGCTGTCGTCAATATCGGCATTCGCTAGCGCCGTGAGGTTCTGCCGCAAACGGTCCAGGCGCGGGTCSCTCTCGTAGGGATCCCTCGATGCGATCGATTCCAACAGCGATTCCACGCTCTGGCCCGGTTCGGATCCCACCCATACCCGGGTCCCGTTGCAGACGTTCGGCGCCTCGGCCAGCCTCGCGTGTGCCTCCGCTACGTCGCGGACGTCGGCGATTTCCCAGGACTGTTCCAGGACGTAGCGGCCCCGGAGCATGTCGGCCCAGCGGTGCTGATAGACCGTGTCGTGGAGCGGAACCACGGTCGGCGGGCCCATTACGATGCAGGGGCAGACGGAGAGCCCGAGAATCGGATCGTGCGGATTTGCCGGATCGGCGTTGTGGTCCCCGCAAAAGGCGTAGAGGAGGCGCTCGCATTCCCGCTTGGCCGCGCCATAGCTGTTATCGAGTATGTCGGCTTCGTTGGCGGGCTCGTCGGCTTCGATGGTACCACCGGCCGCACCCGAGCTCGTGTATACGACYCTGCGGAYGGTTGCGCTGTTCTTTTTCACGGATTCCAGGATCCACTCCATGGGRKTGATGTAGCTCTCGTAGACGGCGTGGTCATAGGAAAGCCACGGTTGTTGTGGRTCGTYTTGATCACTGACACCAAGTGTTKCAAGGGCATCGAGCTTTCTATTGTCCTTGACGTCGTGGATTTCTGYAKTCTGATTTCTKTGTAGATTTCTTAGCAACTGGTCTGCCGGTGGGAGTCTGTAGTTACGTGTCTCTGGCGTTGCTTGGACCGGGTTTTCTGCTGATGYTGGTGTYGCCCTTTTCGTTTTGCTTTTCTTCCATAACGAGTGGTAATCGGTACCGAAATTCCCKGCCACGTGAAAGACCACCGYGCATCCCTCAAAGATTGAATCGTAGGCACCCCTCACGGACATATCCGCMGGGTGAATCTCGAGGCTGCCACCGGAGTTTGCGTCGTGGTTGTTCTGCCCCTCCGGGAGATGCACCGCTTTCCGGCCCGGGCGGACGCATGCGCGCACGGTGTACCCGCGATCCAGGAGCACCGCGCAGAGGTAGGATCCGATAAAGCCCGAGGCCCCCGTCACGGCGGCAATCMTTCYTCCTCGTCGTTCAYCGTTGAGTTCGTTGCAGCTGCTTCCGCTGTCACCGGGTGGCTGAGAGGWTGACATGACGCGCGAAGTATCGTTGCCTTGATTGAATATTTTCAATKYCTTGCGTTGCGCTACCTTGGYGATCTTTCGAAATCGAAATTCCGGATCTTGTTGGAACAAAAAACCGTCGAGGGAACGCTAACAATCACAGGTATCGTCCCGTGCTTCCGCGTTCAGTCGTACCGTGTGAAGACTACTCCCTTGYGACCAAGTCAAATCTGGCACTTAACAATACTGTATTGCTTTAGTAGAGATTGGAAGAGGACGGGGAACGATCGCTTCCGATAGATCGGGTTGTAGCAGGTTGCACGCCAAGTTACTTCAACTTAAGTACGAGCACWGAAAAAGTAGATACTTCTAGATTTATTACTGTATTTCTTGGCCGGATCATTTCTTTCGAAATTTAAATTTAAATTTTTGCTTCTGGATTTTGGATTTTGGTTGGTTCTCTTTCTATTCTACCGCTACGTACCATACGTACAGTACATACCTAAMGTGACTTGTACGTACATACCGTATGTAATATGGTAGGAGTGCGTGGGGAAACTCGAATCTCTGGCGGCTACGTACGTACGTATGGGCCAATACAGGCTCTACGTTCTACGGTATTTAAATTAAAAGTACCGGTACTTCGTACCTGATACCGTACAATTAATATTCAATGTATCGGCAATCGGCATCATCTTTTAATCTCAGACTCAACAAACGATGGAATTACGATAGTGCCTCGCTCAATACAAAGGATACAAATACAGCAACTGTGGATCCAGGCGCAACAGTTTCCCCAGAGACGATACAAGATTTACAGCTAAAAATAAAAAAATCAATTGAAATTGAAAACAACAACGATACAACAGAATGAAAAGGGGAACAACAATGACGACAACGACAACGACGCCGACGAAACGAGCGCCGGCGATGGCCTCCGCGCTGCTGCTCTGCGGCCTGCTGTGCGGTGCCCCGGTGGCATCGGGGTTTTCCCGAGCCGGTGCCCCCGTCACCGCCACCGCCACTCGAGAGGCCCGGCGTTTCGCCCCGGCCGGGCCGCTGCGGTCCGCCGAGGGGGAACACGGCGACGAAGGCGGGAACGGGGAAACACCCCCGGGGGCCGCCGATCCCGAGCCCGAACCGCCGTCCTCGCTGTGGGACAGGGCCAACGCCTTTCTCGACACGCCCATCCTGGACGCCAACAACCGCAGCGACCAGGGGGCGGTCGCCGAGGCCCTCAAGGAGTTCGTCCGGGACGAGCCGGAGCTGGCCCAGGTCACCTTCTCGGTCGCCGTCGTGGCGGCGATGGTCCTGGCGACCAGGCTGGCCGTGTCCCTGTAAGCCAGCCCCCGGCCGTGCAGCCTCTGATGGAATGCAATGGATGTTCACCGACACCGAGAGGGGGAACGACAATTCGTCGGATGCAGCGATGTGGTTGTTAGCGATGCGGTTGCCATGGTTGTTGGCAAGAAAGGAACACGGCAAGGAGAGCGAGTATTCGATTCCACACCGAACACTTGGGTAGATTCGAGTTGAGTCGATCCAAGCCGTCTTGTGTTKTTCCAAAAATGAGAAACGACTGTATATTATTTGGTTTCCTAGCCATTGGCTATGCATCGGAARGARWCTAGGCTTCTATAATATTTYAAGTCGCGACTTTAGGAGGAAAGTGTCAGATCWATAGACTCGAACCACACCGACACGCYTTTTCCGATTCTCAMGCTCCGGTATAATTTAGTCGAACAGCAATCCATTTAAGTTTAGATTCAACAATATGATTTCGTTTTGATTAGGKAAGACTAGATTYATTTGCTACGGAAAGGGACAATATTGCCGTGATTTATCTAYTAAAAGTRGCATCAACATTAATGTGTTTCGAAAGTGGATTGTATCTAGGGTCTAAATTGAAGGGACCTAATTTTAAAAATCACGGGCCAACCTCATTCCGTGAGCCGTACGGTAAAAYYATAATTTTCACCGTCATACTTACTATTGTGATTGCGAGAATAAAGTGTAATTTTCTCGCATTCGAGCCCGTATCTTTGGAGTGATTTGTCGAACAATGCTCGTTCTTCTCCAGCCACTTCCACTTTCAAAACTGTATTTTGCATTTTTTTCAGAAAATGTTCATTACTTTYATGGTACTTARAGTGCCCAAGCGCGTACAACTGGTCGAAGTTGGAAGTTGAAACATSAAATTYGAACCTTCTGTAGCGCATGACCATCAAAAAGCAATAGTAAGCAAGATCATGGATTTCGACTTCTYCATTCCGTTTGTCCAACTCGGTTCCAAACACGTCCATTCGTTCAARCATTGCCATGTACGCTCGAAGCGAGGGTCCTTCGGTCACGCTACTGGCGTCCACGTTTTGAAACCCGAAATACTCGAGATCCTTCAAGAAACTAGCTTTGGAGACCGTTGCCGGCAGGGTCACCTTCTGGCCGTCTCTCATGTAGTCCAAAACGTGCTGAAAGCGCTCCCCGTTTCTGTCGATAAAGATCGGTGCTGCTTCTTCCTCTTGGTCCTTTTTTTGAACATCCATCCAGGTCTCCGAGACCATCCTCGAGAGCATCGTATCGGGAAATAGATCGAGGAGTGATCGAGAGACCTTGTACACCGTTCCTCCGACGTCAAAGCTAACGGTGGCGGGGATCTCACCCTTGTCTTCTTTGTTGCTCATGACTATTTTCAAGATCTGGGCGATCGATGGCATCGATGGTGTTTGCCTTCGGATTGTGGGAACCAACCTCCGAGACATCAATCCGGCTTGGTACACGGAGCTGCCGCGTAGCAGYMTGCCGCACGGGGAACAAACATTCCATTCCGGAGGGAGCGACCGTTGCGGTCCTCTCTTTTTTYGGGATCCGCCGTGGTCGTCTGTTGTATCGTCCAACAGAATGATGCAACCACCGCTGGGCGTGGAGACTCCCCCAAAAATTTGCGGCGCTGCCCAGAGTGTTTCCACCGTGGACCAATCCCACAACAAAGCAYACGMAYCGCCTCTCCATCTCACTCTGGCACACACCCATGCCCTCTCGCATTCGCGAGWCCAAAWAATRMAGGGAGCCACGGTTTCCGAAGTTTTGTGCGTTGCGTCCCACAACGATCGGGCTTGGTGGTGCGTCCGGTTCCTTGCTGTCGCCCTTTTGCGGAGCAACCGCTGCGGTCGGTCGTGGCTGGGTTTGCGGCGGGGGCCCCTCGGAACCACCGCACGGAATGCTACACCCCGAGTCCGCGCGAAACCGCAGCACGGGGTTTGGAGAAACACATCGCAACGCAGCGTCACGCAGCGTCACGCAACGGAACGCAATGAAACGCAACGACACGCACCGTTCCATCGAGGGTGTCGTTGTGTGTCGGTCTCGTGCCGCCGGTTGGTTTGCCTCGCTTGGTTGGCACGCGATGGGCCTTCGAGGAAAGCACGAGTGCGCCGACAAAATCCACTCCGTGAGCAGTTTCCACGTCGCCCGCTGCTTGCATGCCTTTCGATCGTTCGACTCGTACCGGTACGTACGAGTTCATACCGGCACGGTGAGAGCGAAGAATTCGTAAGGCATGTTTTTTTTTGAGTTCGTACTTTTCTTGGTAATCACGACGATACGAAGTCGTGTACGACTCAATTTCCGTACGTACCGTACTACAAACGAGAATTTTTCCGTTCGTTGTTTCTTGGAGACATAAGCCTTTTTCGGGCGAGGTTCCAGGATGGAAGCACATTCTGGGACTCTKGCGTAGGACGTACGTACCTCCTGGTACGGACCGTGCGGTATTTTCGATATTTTCGATTCGTGAAGTTGTGCAAGAAGACTTCACTCATTCGTGTCCAGTCACACAATCCAGCGGGAACCGAATGCTTTTCGAATTCAATGAAGCGTCGTTTTCCTCTTCTTGTGTCACCCAACGGTACGGTAGGTGCACCATTCCTCGTTTGCTAMAGCATAGCAGCATGCCGAGGTTCTGCTCGTTCGCACCCACTTTTTCCATAACAACACCGCACACACGGTTGACACACCCGAGAACACAACACAACACAACACAACACAACAAAACAAAACAAAACAAAACAAAACAAAACACCGACTACGTACGGCATCCGTATCCAACACGCTTTGTTTGTCACCAATGGCGGGAAAACAACAGCAGAAGCAGCAAAAGCAACACCAACAGCATTCGCAACAGCAGCAGCAGCAGCGAGACCGCTGCGATCCGGGGGGGGACCCGCAACCGCTGCTGTCGCAGATCCGATCCAACGCCATTGCCGACCTGACCATCACCAGGGAGGCGGAGGAGGTCTTTGACGCGAACACCGAGGGCGTCCGGTACGACGACATCCTGCCCCTCCTGGAGGCCCTGGGAAGCAACGAGTCGATCCGGTCGGTCCGCTTCGAGGGGGACTTTCTGGACTGCCTCCACCCCCTCTCCAGGAGGGAGCTCCTGGGGGCCATCGGGGGGACCTGCCTGCCCTCCCTCACGGGGATCCACCTGGGGGACGCACCGTTGTTCGTGGCCGACCTGTGCCTGCTCGTGGCCCGCTCGGGGTCGCTGGCGGGACTGGAGCTCCACGACCTGGTCCTGAAGGGAGGGCCGGAAGACTTTGGGGCCCTCGAGGAGGTCCTGGAGCACCACCCGTCCCTCAAGGAGTTTGAGATGACCGAGTGCCTCCCGAGCGACCCGGGGATCGACCTGGACCGGMTCCGCGCCGCGGGGGAGAAGAGGAGGAAACCGCCCCTTCCCTCGTTCTACGGGCGGTCCCGGCCGGCGAAACGGAGCTTCTCGGCGGTGGCCCGGACGGCCTAGACTAGCACGAGATTGTTTTCGATAGAAACTAACTAGTGTTTTGATTTTTTGGACTGCTGTACTAAAACTGCGTAGCGGAGACACCTCCAAACCATGTCGGCTTGTTATGTTTGGAATACTATGGGATTATTTCTGAGAGACTTTCGTGCGCTTGCTCCTCTTTCGCAGACCGCAAGGAATGCCCGTTTTGACATTGTTTTCTGCAGCAGTCCGTTTCAGTGGAGGCGATTCGTTCGCATTCAATCTTATATTTTTCATGCGGCTGGTCGGTGTCGGCTGGGAGTTCAAACTCCCCGATCGATCGTTTAACACAGCTCCCTTCTGGCTGGTCGAGTGCACTTTCTTCTTGTCGGCATGAAGATTGTTGCTTAATGCCGAATCCTTCGATGTCATTGGAGTATTTTCCTTGCTGCTCTCGCCACAGTCGCTGTTTTCGAACTGAGATTCTCGGAGAATCGCCTGTGGATCTTTCGTGAACGTGAGCGATTCCGAATATTCGGGAATGTTGCGACACGGAATATCGACTGGTTCCTCGTGGAGACGGTGAATGTTGTGCGCAAGGTTTTCGAGTTGCTTGGAACTCATGGACACAGCATCCTTGGAATTGCATAAATGCCCTCCCATGGCTTCGACTTGTTTCTGAAGTGCTGTTTCCAACCATTGAGAATCCTCAATGTGCTCCCGATGCTGATCGACGCTGCCAGCAAAACTTCCATCGATACCATCCTCCAAGTGTTTCTCCACCAAAGAGATATATTCCTGTCCCTTGCGGATTTGCTCGCTGGCTGCATTTTCATCAGCATCAAGTGTTTCGCCGATGCCAGTGATACTCTCTTTCGAAGCAGAACAGACCTGACTCTGATCACCTTGAATTTGGCACAGATCATTTCGGACCGTATCGAGAACTTCTTCTTTCACGTATTTCCATCCTTGTTCGGTCGATTCATTGAGACTTGAAATTCCCTTCTTTGCCCCTTCTTGAATTCTTGATGCCGATTGATTTGTAGCAGTTTCGACTTGAAGTCTTGTCGTGTGAATGATTGACTCTGTTGTATTGAGGTCTTCCTTCTCTAAGGATTGCAAAGTATTCATTGTCTCATTGGCAAAGGTGTCAATAGGGTTACGAAGTCCTTCAAACGAGGTCTTCATGTTGGCGTCGAAAGCSGAAGATTCCTGTTGGAGGGCAGATCCGAGTTGGTCTTGACCGTTAAAGTTGTTTCGAATATCATTCTCCAAATGACCGTTGGTTGTACCAAGGTAATCAAAGACATCTAAGCTCGTCTGATGAATGGCAGCGTTGCTGTCTTTTGATTTTTCGTTGGCTGCTAGAAGGGATCCAAAGCTGTCGGATTGGAATTGATCGATGGCACGCATTTCCTTTTCAACGAGAGATTGCATGCCGCTCATAACATTTGTCACAAGGGCTTTGTTCATTTTCTGCTGTCTTTGGTGGGCTGCAACAAGTGCTTCATGTTGCTCTTTTAAGACGGAACACTGGTGTTCAAGTTTCTTGACGTACTCAGCATTTTTGTCTTTCAAATATCCATYCATGCTTGACAAAGATTGCAGAGTATTCGAGCGAGATAATTGGTTTTCCTTGATCCCTTCGACAAATTTGTTCAATGTTGCTGTGTGGAAAGCCGTTGAATKTTTCATTTGATCGATAGATGTGTGACAATGTGATTGAAACGTTCCCRTGGATTTGACCAATTCATCTCGATGAATTTGTCGGATTCCCCTATCTTCTTCGAGTTTGGCAGTAATTTCTGCGACGGCCGTCGATAGATTTTCTTTGGAAGCTTCGAGTTGAGTGGCAAGGGTATCTAGTACACTTTCCGACGAGGAGAGATATGCCGATTCCAGCTTGGAGATGGCATTGCAATTCTCGCTCAATCGACTTAGGACCGATTGGCAACGAGACTGGAGAATTTCGTCGCCATGCTTAAATTGTGCTGACAGTGCATCCAACTTTTCTTTCGCAGACGAGACGAGTCCATGAACAATCGGTAAAAGATTATTCTTAGTTGATTTTTGGAATGCTTCGATTTCCGAGACACAATTCTTTTTGATTTGTTTCACAACCGTAGAATGATTCTGCAGCAGTTCCAATTCCCTCGAGCTGTGATCTTTGTTTGCGGATTCAATTTCGACGCGATATCTCTGTTGTGTCTCCTCGATGAGTTCTAGGTGTTGTAGCAACTCGTTGAGCAATGATATCTGCTTTGCTTTATAGTCTTTGGTAGCCRCCTTGCGATCTAGTTCCTCCTTCCTCTTTTCGAGCAATTCTTGATGCATGTTGTCACCRTCCTTAATGGTTGTTTTYAAAACTTGAATCAGTGCAGTTGCTTCCTTGGTTAACGAAWCTTCGGTTTGTTGCGTAGCGCCGAGGATAATCCTTGTATCACGAAGTGARTTTTCRGTTTCTTCGAGTTGCTCCGTGATCYCCTCCACCTTGCGTTCGAGAATCGAAATTTCGTGTGTAGCCTTTTCAAAATTTCGCTCGGCCAGTTGTTTTGCCATCTCGGCTTGTTCYGCCCGCTCCACCAATTCTTGCTGCTGAATGTGTTTTCGAGCCAAAGCCTGCTGTGCTTCCTCTACCTGTGACTGCATATATTCAAGTCGGCATTCCATTTCGTGCCAGTGTTCTAYGGATGTCCCCGCTGCTCCCCCTGCCCCCTCCGCAGAAGACTTGTTGCTGCCGTCAAATGCGAACGACGATCCTCCCCCAACTGTCATGAGCGACGTTGTGACCGGTTTGTTGATGATCCCGTTGGCCGCCTGTGCATAATTGAGTGTCGACATGGATTCTTCGATTGCCGTGACAGAAGGCGAAATTGTGGCAATCAAACACGTCTTGCATCTTCCCCCGAGACTTTCTTGGAGAATCCGAGTCAACTTCGAATCTCTGGAGATGATTAAGATGCAATGTCGTRCCAAGAAAAAAGAGAGTCAGAAACAACTAGGTCGAAAGGGGGACAAATTGATTCCGTTGCTGTRAAACGATTCGTACCTGTACGGAATTCGGACACTGCTGCCACCGCTACCGCTCTGCTGGCTCCTTTCTTTSAGCAGCTTCACCACCCGCCCAAGAGTCAGCAACGACCGGTTGATATTCATGCGCTCTCGTTCCCGAGCCGCCTGTTGCTTTCCCGCGTTTCCGCAGGACTTGGCGCACTCGCTTCCGGCCAGATCAACGCAGTGGAGTTTGCCTCCCACCTCTAGCACCGAACCATCTACCAGCTGACGCTTGGCCTCGACCCTCAGGGTAAAAATGCAGTGTGACCTGGAGGATTCCTTGTTCATGAGGGTTTCTCCGGTCTGACGCTGTTGGTGTGCGGTCTGCATAAGTGCAAGCAGGTCCGAGGCGCTTGTGACCTTGGTCTCCGATAATCCCCTACAAAAGGGTCCATGTTCCCCTTCCATTATGGCCAATTTTGTTGCCGCCGCATTTCCCGATTTCGACGAAGACACACTCCCCCCTCGTTTGCTGCTTTTGGTATTGCCGCATGTGCTTCCATTATCGACAACGAGCAAATCGGATAGCTCTTCGTTATAGATTTCGAGCAGACTACAGTAGACAGCCGAGCTGGTGTACTCCGGGTTCTTATTCAGAGCATCGAAAATAGCAGCCGCCGACCTGGGAATAACCCCGTGTTGGTCGGCTTGCGACAAATCTCCCTCCATTGTGTGCGTTTTCCCCGTTCCCGTCTGACCGTAGGCAAAAACGGTGCTTTCGTACCCCATCAAGACGTCTCGTATAATCGGCTGCAGAGTCGCCTCAAATACGTCTTCCTGGGTCGAAAACGACGTGAATACGTTATCAAATTTGTACGAGGATTTGATCTGGCGGGATCCGGTCCCTTTGATCACTGTGACGGTCTTGTCGGAGGTGCTAGCGCTCACCACCGGTAGAGTTCCGTGTTTCTTTTCCCTGTCGTTCAAGGGGCGGACCCGCACCACCACCTGGACAGAAGCAGTGGCCGCGGGCGATGTCGGGGCCCGCATTCCTCYTTTCGTYGAGGAGGAGGAGGCTGACGCGAACGAGGTAGAAAGCGAAGGAGACACCATCGTTTTGGTCGATCAGCAGTTCGTTTGGTGGATTAGTGCGCTTGATTCGGGTTCAAGGTATGATAGCGAAAGTCTCTCTCTTCAGACGATTTATTTGTCATAAAGAACGTGCTCGTACGACGAGTAAGAGTACTTCTACTAACTATTATGAACAACGGAACSAAATGCTGCACAAAAACAGTTGCTTCTAATTATTTTGAATTTTGTTCAACACGCCGGTATCATGTGATATTGATCACCTCTACGGTTATTWTTTAACGTCAACTGCAAAACCCCAACCGTCAAAGGCGAMACGATCGGTAGAGGACAGACTTTTTTTTTCCTTCGTTTTTCCAAGAATGAATGGTGCCCAGTCACGTTTCAACAAACGTCACAACCTTTCATGAAACAAGGAGAGAAATTCCAAGTGTGTCCAAACTTGTTTGGTCTTAAAGCAGGAGGCAGACGGAATAGAGATTTGATCTGGAACGAAGACACTGTTAAATCCGAGGACGGGAAACAATAATCATGGCGATCGACACGAAACACACGGGAGCGAAGGCAGCGACGGGAATTGCATGGCTGTCCTTCTTCTTTCTCGCGCTGGCGCAGCAGGCGCATTCGTTTTCCATGTCCTCGAACGGGAATAACAACAACAACAATCTGGGAGCGGCCATGAACCTCATGTCATCCGACTCGAACAACCTCGATCGGTTCCAATCGTCGTTCTTGGTGGGGAAAGAGAGCGAAACCGCCGTATCCCAGTTCGATGGTAACCTTTGGCAAGCCCTGTACGGTGAAAACAACGTATCCGGAGAGGACGAGGATCTGTGGGTGGCAGTCTATCGAAGCAACAACAACAAACCCTCCGTGATTGTTCGCGACGAATTCTTTCGAGCCATGAACGATGCAACATCGGACGACCTAGACGATGCAAACGACAACGATTCTACCGCAAATTCCAACAACAATATTTCAACGGTGTCCAACACTGCCTCCTTTTTGTCCAACACCATGCCTTCCATGCTGGAAATCCCGGAAACGAAACCAGTTGCCATCGCTCGGTTGCAAAAGACAGAAAGCGACAATGTATACCTCCTGGACAATCTGCGGTGCTCCCTCAAAAAAGAAGACCAGGACGAATCTTGTGACGGGGGGAGCGAATTTCTCGAGGCCCTGAGCGTGGCAGTGGACACACTACTCCAGCAGCACCTACAGCGCTTGCTAAAGGACCGAGACGAYGAGACYGAAACCGATGTGGTCTTYGAGGGCACCGTTCGGACCAAGTCGACACTCTTTTCCAACAAACTCTTCGAAGAGCGGGGTTTCCGAGAGGTCGAGACGCTGAGCAGGGACATGGCCACGCACGTTTCGAGCTACGGGGCCTGTTTTTCGCAGTACGCCGAGAGGTCCATCGAGCCGGGGATGGCCCCCGGGACGAGGGACCGGGCGCTCCAGATCGTGGCCCTCCTGGGCCGGCTGGATGCCGAGGTTCAGAAGAAGGTCGAGGAAGACGAACAGAACGGAGGAAACGGCGGGGACGACTACGATCCGTGGGCCAACATGAAATTGTATCGATCGTAGGCAAAGCTATTCGTACCAATGGTACTGTTCGTATGACAAAGAATACCGGTACCGATACCTACAATCATCGCAATTCTGCAATCCAGCAAGCTCACCTTTTCGTGCACAAGAATCACATTATCAATCATAGAAGTTGTGAGACCTAGCAAGCACGCCTTGTAGTACAAAAAGGCGCACGCCGTAGTTCATTCTCTGCTACAGTATCAATGATACCAGTACGATGCACTTCCTTGTACCTGATAACAAAATCTGTAAAAGCAACAGAGATAACGATGAAGTTGCTCTTCCACTAAAATGGTTTCTAGTGTTACTATCATCAATAAGGGTTGAGGCAGGTTGTAGTGACTGTAGAAGAGGTGCTAGTACAAACCAAAAGGAGAAGGAAGAAGTAGAAGTAATGCCAGTATTAGCTCTAGTATTCATGCTACTGCGCGAAGGTTACGCCATGGAAAGAAGGGGACGGTGGCTTGATCGATAGATTTGTGCCTCGKTGATGTCGTCCTCGCCCTTGCTTGCTTGCTTGTTTGRTTTCGGTGATCATCAGGGCAGTTCCATGCCGTCGCGGAGGTAGGATTCGTCGTCGATGTTTAACCAGTGCGTGGAACAGTGCCGGGAGGACTCGATGGTCTGGGTGAGCGCAGACGCGTATTGCCTGGCCAGTTGGGCGGATTCGAGGGACACGCGGTGGAGCGGAGGGTCATCGGGGCTGCTACTGCTGTTGGTATTTTCCTTGCCGTTGAATGTCCGAATCGGGGCAAGTTTGGGGTGGAACTCTCCAAAGGCAAACTCGAAGCCACAGATAATTCCCTCGTGGATCATGTCCGGCAACACAACATATTCATAGCCTTCGATGTCCATTTTGAAGGAGAGAATTGGCTTGGCGTTGTTGTTGTTCTCATCGCTGGAAGTGCCGCTGGGAGGGCCGCCAGGTACTTCCCGTTCGAGGATGTGGTGCCTGATCCATTCGCTCAACCGGATTGTAGGAACCTTTTCCTCGTAAGCCCCTTCCATGCCAAAATTCTTGGCCCCGGAAAACCCCCACTCTTGGAACTTCTCGTCCTTCGGGCCCTGGTGGAAAAAGGTTGTGAACCCCTCGTAGTCCGATACCGCGGCCTCGATTACGTGGTACCTCCAGCCCTGTTTCGAATAGCTCGCCGCAACCTCCTGCAGGCGGGGCCAGTGCTTCGAGTTGGCCTCAAACTCAAACACGCAGAAGTCCCGGGGGTCTCGGTTGGATCCATATTCTTTTTCAAAAAGAGGGACGGAGTATCGGGAATTCGGATATTTGTGTGGTTCGTACAGAAACCGGCCGTGCACCCCGATGTTGGCCCCTATATCTAGGAATACGTGGTAGCAGCCGTCTCCGAGCCGGGGCTCGCGTGGCGGTGGCGATGGCGATGGCAATGTTGCTGCTGCCGCCGACGCTAGAGACGACGACGATTCTTCGAGGGTTTTGTTTTTGGCGACGAYCGCGGTGTCCCCTTCTCGACTCGCGAGAATGCTCGCGTACCGATCATAGGAGAGGTTGCATACACATACCAACAAGATCGCAGTGATAGCAGTGTGGAGTCTCGTGGGACTGGACTTACTTTCGCTTTTTCTTTTGCCTATCTGCATATCGTTTTTTACTCGCCTTTCACTCTTTTAGTCTMTGGGGGTAGAACTCTCTGTTCAATGAAGTTCTGTGTCTTGCGGTGAGGGGATGGTGCTTTTGTTCGTCGCGGTTTGTTTCTTTCGAGCGAGGGCACTCGTATCGGTAGGGTCGTTCTGGCACTCCAGTTATGACCTGCAAGGRGGAAAGTCTCCCGCGAAAAACGCATGAAAAGGCACACCAAAAAGCCCGAGGAAGACTAACGTAATACGTTTACTTGGTCGTACCGTACAAGTAGTAGTCGTACTCTAGTACGACGAGCGGGAGTCATGATTATTTTCGTGGGATGAATGACGTTCTTCGTTTTTCAGAAAAACAAGAAAAATTAGGTCTCCTGCCGTTCGTCATATCTGAAGAAAGATGCAGCCGAAGTTTCCTGTTGTTGGGTACAGTACCTACGGTACGGCACCAGTACATTTCTCTGTTGCGTAATAYTGTACCGTACGATTTTAGCTTGCGTAAAATTAAACCGAAAATTGACATAATTTTGGGCCAACCACTACTGTAACTTCGGCAGACTAGTTTTTAGTCGCCAGAGCATCCTTAAGCATCCCAATGACCTGGATCGTACTACGTACCTACTACTCCTTGTGACCCTGTTGTGCTTCTTGGTACTGTATGGTGTTGTTTTTTMTACTATCGTACGGTACGTACGGTACGGTATGGCTCATTAAGATWATCTAGAATCAACCCCAATTATCTAGAATTTGGGGTTTGGGTGGGGTCGGGGTTGGGGTTATGGGGTACCCCTGCGCGCCCACGGAAAAAACTCAAAGGAATCGTTTGACTCATACGGACGGTACGTACCGTACATAACTCAATCCGTTCCACGAGTAGAGTGGAATGATTCGACTCGATTCAGCGAATCGGACCGCGCTGGTCGAGTTTTGGCGGTGCTCCACAAGACCGTCATGTCCMTGTCCACACCATATCCGGATCGGCTACAAACAGTTGGTGATGCCCCTCCCCGAAAAGCTATCGCCCTTCAAAAATCCGCATATCAAAACCGTCGAATATTGCGCGCCGGCCCAAAGAATTTATTCGACAAAACCATCGATGGTAAGGTCGGCATGTGGGATGATGTGTTTCTTTTCGCGGGAACAAAAAGATCTGTCGATTTTTCGATGCGATCCATCACCAATGATGCCAGATAGCAGCAGAACCTAGATAGAAGATCTTTTTTCGAATTATTTGTCTTCGGCAGGATGCTTTTCAAACATTCTGATTCTTACAATCCAGTAGATCTATGACACGATATTAAAAAAGCAAACAATCAAATAGTATACGCCTTCAACATCATGTTGACCTCTTGGACCAAGGGGCCGGAAGAGCCCCCCCTCTACAGCGATTGGAAGGTATCCTTCACTGCCCATCGAACCGTCGAAGAACCGAACGACGGACCCTCAAAAGACGATCAAGATACACATTCGGTCTCTACAGCATCCACAACCTCGGCCGATGGGGAAGATTCGGTTGACAACAGCGAGAGCAAGATAGTCGTCGAATCGATGCCGTCCCCGCAATGCCAGCAACAGCATGCGTACTTTTCCGTCCATCGCAACATCATTGGACCACAAAGCACCTTCTTCACGGAATCCTTTCTGTCTTCCCAAGTGGACTCCAACACCGTCATTGCTCTGCCCACGGACCTTCCACCCCACGCCTTCGATGCAGTGGTCGAGGCCTTTCGAATCCTCCTCGACCATTGCTACCACGCGGGAGCAAGAGCGGGCAATCCCAAAGCTCTCAACGTCCTCGAGAAGCAACTCGGCGGAGAACACAACGAAAAGGCTACAATAGTGGCGGTGTTTTGTCTTAGCCGTTTTTTTGAAATGGACTCACAGCTCTGTCAAAAAGTCCACGAATTCGTGAGCACCGATCTGACTCCGGACACGGTGGCGGCCTACTACGCGGTGGTGAAATGCTTGCGATCATCGTGGTCGTCATCGAGTCTCCCAGYCGTCCTAGATTTCAACCCCATCATKGACATGATCATCCTCCTATGCCACCGCATTCCGAGTGTTCTGAGCCCCGATTCGGACCTKTCGAGAATCGCCGATTTGTCGCTGTGGTTGTCGATTGGATCCCTACTGGCCCGCGACAACGACTACAACGAGACCGGAGACAGCAACATAGTCGACGGTGATGGCGCCGCTGCCGCAAACAAAGCGAGTGCCACTGCTCCTTCCGGCAACGACGACAACGAAAGCAAAGTCGACCCYACCGGGGAATCGCCAACCAGAAATTCCAAGGCCTGGAGCGAAAACCTCACTTACTTTTTCGACACCTACCACCAGCAAGAAAGCGTTGTGGACCTAAGAGACTCCTTCCGAACACTGACGGCCGAAAGCGTGCTGCCCGAAGTCTCCGAAAAGGTCGCCCTGCGATTGCTCGAACAMGAGCACAAGCACGGGCTTGYCTGGGGTTCTTCTAAGACACCAAAGGGACACGGGGAGCCGGAGTCGGACGAAGAAACCGTCGACACGGTGGTCGACGAGATGGAGACCGACCACGAAGAAGACGAACAAGAGGAGAGCACCACCGAGACAGCCGCAGCAGTAGAAACCCAAGAGCCCTCGCCCGAGAACGAGAACGAGAACGCCGCGGTTGCCCGCCGCCTGACCGGTCTCCAGGAACGCTGCATCAAAGCCCTGTGCGAGTCGAACTGGGCCGGGGACGAAAATGAGGTGAAGGACTTTGCGCCGGGAAAACTAGCCTCGATCACCACCCCGGCCGTGCTGGAGGCCCTGCTGGTCGCCTCCGTCGCCGAGGAGCGCCACCTCGGTTCCAGGCTCCGAGAGACGGCGTCCTCCCTCGCGACCGAACAGAAACTCCGGGCCGAAGACTCCGAGAAGTACGATTTCTTCACCAAGGAGCACAAGTTCGACATTGCCAGGGAATTGCAGCGGCAGATGGCCCTCGCCAACAAGGTGAAGGAGGAAAGCGAGAAACGAAAGGCGGCAGAGGAAATCGCCAAGAGCGTCGAAAGCAGGGTGGCGGACGAGAAGAAGGCCCTGCGGAAGGTCAGCGAGGTCCTCGAAGCGCAGCTGGAAGCCGCCGAAAAGAAGGTCAAGAGCCTCGAGAAGCGGCTCCGGGTCCTCGAGAAGGAACGAAGCAAGACCGAGTCCGACCGCGAACTCTACGAACACTCCGTTCGGGAAACCATCAAGCGGCTAGACGGCATCACAAACCCCTTCGTCGAGGACGACTGGTGTTTGAAGTCGTGCGGCGGATTCACGCCTCTGATAACGATGATGAGCACCGTGAACGACCACCGTGAGTGCGACCGCATCAAGGCCATGCTGAAGCGGGTGCTCCCGGACTCGTCGGTCTACGAGGGAGACTTTTCCCTCAAGGGCGACGATGATTTTACCCTCGTCACAAAGGACGACGATTATCAGCTCACCGATTACGAAGACGACGGGACCACCGCGTAGCGCGCGTGGAGAAAATGTTCGAAGCAGCAGCATTGCAACAACTGGGCACCCGGGATGGATTGGCCGTCTTTCTTTTATCCATCCATATCCATGCAATYCATCCATTCGGCCTTCCTTCCGATCCTATTCCAAAGACACCCAACGCAAAACAACATATGCATTCGTTTCACAAGTTGGTCATTCGTGAGACCAAGCCACCGTC